CCTCTGCAACCTATCCAGGTCACTCTGCAATATACTTTTAGTATATTTGACATATTTAATAATAAAGATGAAAGGTTTGATAAAGTAAAACATTGGTCTTGATCCAGTGTTCAGAAATGTTTGTAGACATAATTAACATTATTACTACTATTGTGGGTTATGCAGTACCCAGGTGTTGCTGCTGTAGCTGCTTTTACTGTGATTGAAGTTGGTTTGATACCTGTAAAAATGGTTGGAGATGCTCTCTACCTTTGAAATTCAGCTGAAAGAAACATAAAAACAATGCCTTAAATAAGTAGTGTGAAAGAAAATGGCAGTGCAGGAACAAGACTTGTGCTAAGAGAATGTACCCCAAACTCAATCCATTTACTGTTAGTTTTGGCCTTCTGTTTGCCTACTTATTGCTCAGAAAGTGATGCTCAACTAGAATACTGTAAAAACTGTTTTCCTGCTCAGTGCTAAATAAAACTAAACAAATCTCCAGTCCTAAAAACTTGCACATATTTAGCGTTAGTTCTAGCATAAAATATTTGCAGGCTAATGTAAAAAAGCTCAAAGTCCAATTTTAAATTGGACTGCATTTTTTCTAAAAAAGCTAATATTTTAACTGACACAATTAACATTATTAAAAACAAAACCAAACCAACAAACAGAAAACACACATCCCCCACTCCTGCACCCCCAAACAATAACAGCAACAGCAAGTATATATATATAGATATATTAGGAATAATGATGTACATCATCACATGAATTAATTGTCTAGTACTACTAGACAATTACTAATTGCTAAGCTACTTGCTTTCATACTATGAACTAGCCTAACATATCACTTTAAAATGTGTTCTTATTTGAGATACATACCTATAAATTTTCTGTTAAGCAGAACTTACTCTGTAGTATGCAGAACTGATAGTCATACACAGATTGTGTTAATCTTTATCTCTCATATGTCCAGTTTTGACTCCAGATATCTTTTCCATGCAGAACACGCATCTGAATAGCATTTGAAGATTTTGTGCCCACATCTGAGAATGCTTTATGTAGGTATTGTACAAATTGGTCCTGAAGTACATTAGCTGTGAATCTGAGATGGCTTGGTCAACTGTGTGTTTGGACAGTAAATCAATGCTCAGTTGCATTGATTTCACTGTGTATTTGTGTCGGTTCAGTAGGCTCAGTGCTTCAAAGTCCTAGGACAAAACAAGCTACAGTTCTACCAAAACTACCAAATGTTTTGGTTATAAACTATCAAAGCCACAATCTTTCAAACTGTGCCACCTGTGACAAAGCTGTAGATGATGTATCACTACAAAGATCACAGCGACAGCAGCAATGTTGTGACCGTTTTGGCTGCTGCCAAAGGTTATTCTGTTCCTTTCTCTCCTCATTTTGTGGACTATCTGTAACTTCACTGTTAGTTCAGAACACTGGAATAGGACAGAAGTAGGCATGGGAATAAGCACTAATGGACTTGCAGTAAGAAGGAGAGCAGGCAGTTGATGAGCCAGTTGGAGCACATAGTAGAGAACTAGGGGAATTAAAATTTGGGAGACTGTAAGAGATGTATTGTTGTAGTTGAGTTTGAAGAGGTAAGATTTCCCTGGTGGATCGGAAGAGCAGATGGACAGATTATTTTTTGTTTTGAGAACTTTGGTCTAGGAAACTGAAGGATCTCCCCAGGAAAATCATTCTGCCATCATTTCCTCTGGCCATCACCAGAAAGTGAGGCCTGATCAAATTATATTTGAGAATCTGAATTCTGTATTTTTAGTTTAATCCCCTTTCTTGTTGTCTGTAACTAGTATAAAACACTTTTCTTTTTGTACTGGTTAACGTATATTTAAATAAAATTTTGTTCATTTATTTAAACATCTTAAAAATGACAGTAGTCTTCAACCAGTATTGTAAAGTATTTTCTTTAATCCTGTACTGTCTAATATTGTTGTCACTGTCATATGCAAAATATCCAACTTTTTCTCATTCCCCAAAGTTTTTGCCTGAGTTGAATTCTGTCACCACCTGGATAACTTATGAATGATTAAGACCTATATTGCTCTTGTTTCTTCTGTAAATGAAAACAGTATGTTGTTGTTTGATAGCATGAATTTGTTCTGGAGGCTTTTCAATATATCTCATATGTTATGACCAACAGGACAGTTTTCTGATAACATCTTCTCTGAAGTAAGATCATCTTGGCTCTTCTGGATCTGTACTGTGGGGTTTGTTAGTTTGTTTGGGTTTTTTTAGCTCTAGTAATCCATTGAGATGGATTTCAGCAACAGACTCACTGAAAAGCAGTATTCCAAAACACTTTAGGACTCAAATTATCCATTTCCTAGGATGACAAATGTAGCATTTTTAAAGACTG